TCAGAACTAAAAGTTCCTTTAAAAGAGTAATTTATAAACTTAAGGCTTTGACTACCATGAAAATACTGCCAAGATGCCATGCACAATGTGTGTAAAAGTTGCGGTGAAAGGCATGTTATTTCAGGAGTTTGAATACATAGAGTTCAGGTTTATCCTGGCTGGATTTCCTCCTGCTGCAGGCCTTTGTCTGAAAGAATGAGATTGGCCACCAAGTATGGGACGCACAAAGACCATCCACATACCCTGAAGGTTTATTTTAGGAGTGCTTTGTTGAATCAAGTTATTTCAAATTATCAACCTGTTTGAGGAGGAGGAGGCACTAACACTCACTGAACTCCCAATCTGTGACAGGCAGTGTGCTAGCAGCTCCGTGCACATCATCTCGTTCATTCTCACGACACGGAGATGTAGGTCTCACTGTCTTCATGTAAGACCTCGTGGAGGTAAGACTCGTGTCCAGGGGTTCCCGCTTACGGCATGCTGGGGCATGTGTGCACCAGTCCAATGGTGCATGAGTTTGGATTTCCAGCTCTTAGCAACAGAAACAACTCTAGTTACTTGAAACATGAAAGGAATCAACTGGAAGACATGATAGGTCACAGAATTCACAGAACAATGAAAGAACTGGAGTAAGGAAAGATAGTGACCCGGGAAAATTCTGGGGATCCAGGCTGTAAAACTAATGGGCAGATTCATCAGAGAACCCTGGTTCGCTCTGCCCACTCTTCAGGTTCTAGGGAAAGAGCATTTCAGTGCCCTCCCGTAGGCCACAGGCCCATCCCTTGCACAGAAGAGGCAGGACACTGCTTGACAAGCCCCACTAGGGCTGTATCCTTTGAGAGAATGGGAGTACACGTCCCAGGAGAAAGAAGAGTAGACCCTGGCAAGCAAAACAGCAGACAATCACTACACAGCATTACAGAAAGCCTTTAGCGACAGCAACTGACTAAACCCTATACGGGTCAGTATGTTTCATGGGGTTCCAGGCGCTGTGAAAGGGTTGTGGATGGACTGAGTACTAAGGCAGGCCCCTTCTCAAGGAGCTGATGCTATTCCACAGCTACTTAATCAAGGCCACTCCCTACAAAGAAAGTGAGGCATCTGTCACCAGCTGATTTATGCCTTTGCTCACAACCTTGTCCATAGATCCAAAGTGAGAAATGACTGAGAGATATCACCAGACTTGGACAAACAGACCAAGGTCACTTCTGAACTGGAGATGTGAACTACATCATACTCAACCAACTCACCATTTCCATAGGCTCTTGGAAGCGCTAAACATTTAGCTGTGGGGATTCCATAAATGCTTGTTGCTGTGAAGGAATTTAGGGGATTCTTAAAGGGTTCTAGGTAGAAGTTTGGAAGTTCGAGATCTGGGACACATTCTGGCACCTCACTGTGTCATAGTTTCCTAAAGTGGAGGTGGGTGATGTAACCCTTCTAGCCCTGATTGTGGCAATATGAGAAGAAAGCCATGTGTACAAGAAAGCACTTCATAAAGTAAAGAACATAATAGCAATGCCCTCTTATCTCTGTCTTTTGACAGAAAAAAACAAAAAGATGCTTGTAATCCAAATCACCTAGTTCCATCTCTTACAAATGCTTGAATTCTGGAATGAGCTTTTAAGAGCATCTATGAACAAACTAAAATTAGGCTTTTTACCCAGTTGCCCTGAAAAATTGAGAGCTGGTAATATTTGAGTTTGCAGAAATGATTCCCTAATAAAGACCCATCTTTTGCCAAATGGAGGTGCCTAACTTCTTGGTGTTATTATTTGTTTTATTATTTTTTCATTATATAATAAAAGTACCCTAACCACATTTACTAAAAACCTAGAAAACAGTCAAGTTAAAACAAATCTTCCAAAATTCCACTACCTTAACAGCTAGTATTTTGATGTATTCTTTTCCCAAGTGTGAGCATCTTTTTATCATAATTATAAAGCACAAGTACTGGAATAATAGTTTTTCATTGATTTCTTAATCAGAAGTGTTTTTCCATGTCTTCACATAACCATCAATTTCAACAAGCTAACCAGTCAGAACTCCAAGTACTAAAAAAAGAAAAGAAAATTCTCGTGCCTTTGCTCCTGAACTGAGGCCTCACAGTGGACCAGAAAGGAAATGGGGGGAGGAAGCTGGTATTGAGGGTGCTGTCAGGTAAACCAACTCCAACCAGCCCTTTCCTTGCACTGTTTCTTTAGACTCCCTACTGACAAGGGACTCATAGCTAAAAGCTGCATTCACTTCTGTCTCCTCTCTGCCTTTAGACCCTATTGCTTAAAATACCAGCAAGCCTCAGGGGGAGGATTGCCCCAGACTGTCCCAGTGTTAGCCCAAAAGTTCTACATCCTGGGAAGTTCCTCAGTCCAGGGCAAACCGTGAGAGTTGGTCGCCTGACAAGGAAGAAATAAAGCAAATGTGTGCAGATCCTTCATAACTGGCCAACCCGTCGGGGCTGATGCTTTACTATCAGGATGTGGGGAGCCCACGCGTGCTGTGGGCTTCGAAACCACCCACCCCTACACTCCCCCCACCTGACTTCTCAGCTCACTGTCACTGAATCCTGGGATATCCTGCCCACTTTGCCACCCAGAAGCAACTGGGTATTCCTGTGAGGGCTGACGAGAGTAAATGTGACATGTAGATACAAATAAAAGGGAATTCTTATATTTAACACTGGAAGCCTTAAATGCCAGCTCTGAAATCATTTTGCTTGATCATTAATCCAATTTCGGTTTTGGCTGCATTTGACTTACGTGCCCTTTTAGAGGTGAAAAGTGTTTTCCTTGCTTGGCCAAGGAAGGATTTCTATTTGTCCCCCAAAGTGGGCGTTCCCCACATCACAGTCACAAAATCATGCTGGTCAGCCCTTCACTGCCTCATTCCAGTCAAAGTGCTCTTGTTTATGATGAGTCTGGAAGAATAAGAGACATAACTCAGGATGGGCTTCATTTCAATTCAGCTCAACAAACTGCTCTAAACTGCACTCGAATGCTGTACGCCTAAACCTGTTTTTGCTATAATCTGTGGATTTTCATCCTTTAAAAATGAAATCGATCAAATGAAATCCCTTAAATCAATTTCAAAATAGACTGATGATGGTAAGGCAGCTAGGAGAGACACTCAGAGAGATGCAAACTTCGTTTAGGTGGCCACGGAGTGGAAAACGCCAGACACAATTGTGTGCTTGCTGGTTAATCAGGATCTTTTCATTGAAGTCTAGAAGAGGAATTACTTTATAGATGATGATCTTTGTTAATTAGCTATAATCAGGCCTTCCTAGAATGGTGAAGTATTAAAGCCTTGTTTGCTGGTACAGATCATATTTAATTGTTTCCATACTGTCAACAAAACAGCTGTAGGAGTTTCGCATGAGCCATAAGTATTCAAGGTCTTTGAGGCAATTTCTTTGTATAAACAATGCAAATTTTTATTGCTATAGTGGAGTTGAGTTTTTTTGTTTGTTTGTTTTTTGTTTTTTTGAGAGGCTTTAAATCGACCAGGATTTTTCCCTTTGGGTTTCTGCTTCAGAGAATGGAGGTGGTGATGGTGACTGGATAACATGAAAGACCCCACATTCCCGCAGCAGAGGCCCAGGTCTCTTTCATCTTAGACTGAGCTCTGGCCCACTGCTGCTTGAGGATTTGGAGTGTGTAACAGTCCGGAGCTTTTCAATTTTGTGTAACCCTTTTAAGAAGCCCACTCCAGGAAGGCAGAGGTGGAAACATATGCAGCAAAACACTTTATATCCAATTTGAGGGTGCAATTAAAGGTCTTCACTTGAGCCAAACCAGAGTTGAGAAAAACCTCCTTCCTGAAGGTAGAGTGACAATACTTTACGAAAATTAATATCGTGTTATTGCATAAAAATAGCCTAAGAAGCGTAGAAAACAAAGGAGAAGGTTACTCAAATTTCTACCAGCTAATCAACTGTATTCATTTTTATAAAGTTTCATTCCATATATGTGAATATGTATACCTATTTTATGTAACCACTTACTAATTATGGAACTTTTAGATTGTCTTCAAGTTTTTCATTCTAATAAGACTAATGAATATAGTTATATAATTTTTTTATTCCTTTGGGCTTATTTTTATAAAACATTCCAAAAATTGGGATTGTGGGGACAAAACTTTGACATTTAAAGTCTTTGTGCTAAAAATGGACCATTGCTTTCCTAAAGGGTAGTGTCATTTTCCACTGTCCCCAGAGTTTAACAACTTCATCAGCATTGGGTATTATCTGAATTCTTTTCAAGCAAATTGAAAACTATTTTGGGAGAAAAGATAAGAGTTGCTTCCGAGTTGTTTCCACTCTTAATATTCATCAACTTGGGGGGGAAAAAATGTGTTCTGGGAAAGAGGACAGTTCTCACTTGACAAATGGCTATCATAGTTAAGATGTTGGAAGTTGCATGGCAGACATAGTTGCCTCCAACAAGTAACAAATCTGAGGCACCTGCATCTGTCTGTCTGCCTCAAAAAATTATAGTTGCCACTGTGAAATCCACATGGGAGGGGAGAGCAACACGGATTAACAACCCCCAAGAGAATGGCCAGCTCGCCAGCTACTGCAATGCCTGGAAGAGGACTTAACGAAATGCAGGCTTCTTGAAAATCCTAGGGTGTAGGATTCGTTAGTTTCACTAAAATGCTGTCATTACAGTCCTCTTCCTTAACACAGCTGTACATCCAAGTATGTGGTATCACTGGGTAATACAGCATAGATACATTTGCAGAGAAGAGAGGCCTCTATGCAGATTCCTATGAAGAATCAATCTTTTGGAAGAATGCAATGGTTGAGACAAGGCTTGAGTTTATTTCAGGTTGCTGGTGCATGTGCCCTACTGGAAGAAAATGACTCCACTGACCTCCGGGGCTGACTTCTCTGAACACTGCATCAGGGAGGCTCGCACACGCATACTTCCTATACCTAGATAGAGCCTCTGGCTTCGCTTGCTGAATCCTGCATATTTACCCGGCTCTATTTCCTTTAGGTTCTCATCTACAATGGCCAACTGGACATCATCGTGGCAGCTGCCCTGATGGAACGCTCCTTGATGGCCATGAATTGGAAAGGATCCTGGGACTACAAGAAGACAGAAAGAAAAGTTTGGAAGATCTTTAAATCTGATAATGAAGTGGCTGGTTATGTGCGGCAAGTGGGTGACTTCTATCAGGTATGAAAGTGCTCTGGGGCGTGCAGGCTGTGGAAATGGGACAGTGAGATTTACACCAAAGCCTGAATACCAACAAGGCATGGCTGGCCTTAAGCAGTCGCACTCCAGCCAAAATGTGTCTTCTGCGGTCCCACTCGCTACAGAGAAGACTGGTCTGAGATCGTATTAAAGTGCATCAGACTTAATGTGAAATAAGACAAAAGTGGAGGTATTATTCAAAAAATAAGGTAACAATCAAAAAGGCAGTACTTAGCCCCAAAAGGGGAATCATTAATGAGAAAATTAGTCTATTGGGGAACAAAGGGGAGCTTGAACATATTACACGAGGAAGGCTCAATGTAATGTCCTACGGCACATCGGCGATCACACTTGTATATTACACACAGACCCAGGGCAGAATCCGTCTAGCTGATGCCCCGAGTGCGACCTCTACTCCAGGGGTCAGACGTTACTCCTGGTCAAGCCTGTCCAGCGAGCCTCATGTTTGCAGGTCTCAGCCCTTCAAGGATGAACAGGGCTTCTTCAGTGTGCGCACGCTTTATCTCCAGGAAGTGTTTGGAGAGATTAAGAAAGCCCCTCGGTAAGCTTTTGCTTCGTCAAGAGGAGAAATTTAGACCTTCCAGACTTGATCTTTTTTTCCCCCACAATTTTTTATTTGAGGCCACACTGGGACCTCATTCTGTACCTCTGGGTTTTGGGAATTATAGCTTTCTAAATGCTTGAGTTTACCATTAGGCAAATCTATGTTCCAAATAGAAATTAATCAGAGGCATGCTACCTTACATGTACTTTACTTTGGGATGATAAATGGGAGTTCACAAAGAGTTTCATAAGGGGTCACTGGGTTATAACATACATTCCTCATTTATGTTAGAAGAAATGGCAGATCAAGTAAAATTATGGGTATTCTAATGTAAAAAGCATACCTTTGCTTCCCCACCCCAGTCATTCGAACCACTAAATCACATGGAAATATTTAAATATTGTACAAAACGTTAACTACCTTGGACAAAGGGAACACTTGAAAGACATATTTCTGGGCTCAAGTGCGAGGAAACTCTACCTTGGAAAATTTATAACATTATAGTTTCTAAATCAAGATAACTTAGACCAAAGAATTAAACACTGGTAGAATGACAAACTAAATGACTCAACAGCAATAATTCTGGCTGTATACAGAGGGTGCCAAAAAAATGTATACACATTTTGAGAAAGGAAAAAACTATTAAAATTGTAATACTCAATATATACTGATAAGAAAAGATGAATACAAGTCACGTTTGACTTCTGCAATTACAAGAGGTGCTCAAAGTGGTTACCATCAGCTTCCAGACACTTCTGATTATGGTGAACTACTGCTTGAGCAACGTGGACCAGAGTGTCCACTTGTACACATTTTTTTGGCACCCCCGGGATATATCAGGTCTGAAAATGGGAAGGACAGAAAGAAGAGTGTCTGTTTACATGTAGAGAGATCTGGGCAGAAGTTGGAAAGTGCTGTGTCAACATCAGTTTTTGCCTCCCGAAAGCTGCATTCAGGTTTCCAGCCCCTTAACTACCACTTGATGGTACTTCATTGGTTTTCTAGCCTCTTAGCCTCCTGCATCAGTTATTGTTTTCATGAGGAGAGGTCCACAGAATGTCAGGGTCAGCTTGCAGCCCTTCCCTTTACTTTGAAAGTCCAGCCCCTTGTGGTAGGCACAATAATGGGCCCCCAAAATAGCCCTCTTCCTAATCTCTGGGGTTTGTGAATATGTTATATCCTACGGGAAGAAGGGATTAAGGGGCTACATACAGACATAAGGGTTGCTACTCCTCCGACCCGGAGATGGGGAGATTATTCTGGGTTATCCGGAGGGCCCGGTGTCACCACAAAGGTCCTTATAAGTGAATGAGGGAGGCAGGGGAGGCAGAGGGCGATTTGAAGATGTTGAGTGCTGGCTTTGAAAATAGAGGAAGGGACCTGGACACAGGGAACGCAGGCAGCCTCTAGAAGCTGGAAAAAGCAAGGAAATGGGCTCTCCTGGCATCTTGATTTTAGTCCAGTGAGACCATTTCAGACCTCTGACCTCCAGAATTACATACTATAGAAGTTTACATGGTTTTAAGGCACTACATTTGTGGTACTTCATTATGGCAACAACAGGAAACTAATGCAACCCTCCTGCCTTGGAAAATCTTCAGGACTTTCAGATGGATGTGTTCTGTATTTTGTCCAACTTTTCTAGTTTTCCTTAGTAGGAAAATTGAGAGCAATAACTATGCCTTGTCAGGACAGGTGTGGCACTTGCTGCTCTGTTTTGGTTTTGGTTTTGGTTTTGGTTTTGGTTTTGGTTTCGGGGTTTTTTTTCACATTATATCATAGATATTTTAAAAGTTACAGTATAGGCTCTTACTTACCTTTAAATGATATTCCACTGAATTGATATAATTAACTTCCTTGATTCTCCTCTTGTTGGTCATTTAATATGTGTTTCAGCAGTTCCGATCTACATCCATATTTCAATAAATCAGTCAAAAGATATACTATGATATTTTCTGTGCAAAATAACACAAGAAAAAAAGGAACAGAAAAAAATGGCAATAAAGACATTACAGGGTGGGCTCTTCTACCTATATTTATGTTCAATAATGATGAAGATAGTTTGGGCTTCTTGAGAACTAAATATGTGCCAGACGTGATGATTGGTACTTAATGGATATTTTCAGAACAGCCCTGCACATGACATGATACCATTTCCATTTTACTAGAGGAAATAGACTCTGAGAAGGTGAAGAATTAATCTAGTATCACCCAATGACAGATTGGGATTCAAACTTTATTCAGTTTGCTCGCATAGACTATTTGCCCGTGTCTGTTGTATTGCCAGCTCTGATACTTAATTCACAGCAAGGTGGGGAATGTTAAAAAAACTTGTTTAATTGTTCTCATATGTCTGAAAGCTATTTGTTAGCCATCCCTCAGGTGCAATATAAAAGAGACACTTACCGATGCTCCCAAGGGTCTAACCTTACCTCCAGCCATGTATTAGATAGAGCACAGAGATGGTTTGTGGCTAGAAGTGAAGAAATATTAGCTTAATAATAAAATGCCCAGATGCTTTTATTTCTGACCATATCCTCCCATTCTGACCAGGTGGTCTGGCTGCTTCAAGGTCAGCAGGATGAATATGATCAAGTCCCTTCTATCAAGGAGCTTTTACCCAAAGGAGAGAAGGGATAGAGGCAGACAAGAAGGAAATATACACATTATTAAATAAGATAAAGTCAGAAAATAAAACTGGGTGATGGGGAAGAGCATGCGTGGCAGGTGCTGCAGGCACTAGTGTGGATGGTGGATGTAACCAAGAAGGCTTTCTGAAGAGCTGAGACAGTAAGGCATCAGGGAGTTGCCATGTGCAAAAGTGGGTAAGAGTGTCTGTGCAGAGAATGTTGGAATGTGCCAAGAGGCAAAAACAAGCTGGATGTATTTGAGGAAAGGAAGGAGAACCAGTGGGATTGGGGTGTGGTGAGGAGTAGGAAAAGCCGGGCGATAAAGCTGGGGATTTGGCTGTGGCCACATCATGTGGGTTTTTGTGGGTCAGAGTAGTTAGGATCCAGAAAGCTAATCGGCTAATCGCCTGCTATAATAATCATATATATATATATATATATACACACATACATATATTCTGTCTTCTGGAACTTCATTACACTTTAGCCAGTAGATAGAGCTCAGAACTAGAAGTCCTCACTTCTTGCCCTGGTCCAGGATCCCTTCCAGTTCAAATTCTGAGTGTCTTCATGTTCTCTTCTTTGGTATCATGACCTTAACACACAAACCCTTACATGGGATCTTTTCTCCCACAAGAAAAAATTTGCTTTGTTGTCAACATGTTTCTGTCGGGGAGAATTTTTTACTTTAGCCACTGACTAGTGTAGGAATGATAATTGTTACTGAAGTGAACTGTGTACCGTACTTGGTTATATATGCATATGTGTCTTTGTATGTCTGTGTATTTATATACATGCATGTACCTATAATGTATGTTGAAACAGCACAAGTATGTGAGTCAGGAAGACCACGATTTGCATTCTGAGTCTTCTACTTAATAGCTATATGACCTTGGGCAAGTTTCTTACCTCTCTGGGCCCCAATTTCACCTCCTAAAAGGTAGGGATGGTAACAGTGCCCACTTAACTATGCACTGAATTGCATCGCCCCAAATTCATATGTTAACTCCCTAACCTATGATGTGACTGTATTTAGAGACAGGACTGGTAAGGAGGTAATATAAGGGTAAATGAGTTCATGAGGGCAGCACTCTGATTCTATGGGATTAGTGTCTTTAAAAGAAGAAAAGAAATACCAGAGAGATTCTCTCTCTCTCTCTCTCTCTCTCTCTCTCTCTCTCTCTCTCTCTCTCTCTCTCTCTTTCTCTGCCATATGAAGAAACAGCAAGAAGGCACCCATCTATGAGCCAGAAGATAAATGTCTCTTGTTTAAGAACAACAGTCTATGGCATCCTGATAGGATTGTTGAGGGGATTCAGTATGCTAATAAGCTTAGAGCAGTGCCTGACTCAGGAAATGTTTGCTGGCATTTTTGTCATTTTTATCACTCTAAATCACTTATAAGAATATATGTAACAAAGGGAAAATGATGCATAGTAAAAGCCAAGATCAGGGAAAATGTTTGATTGGGAAAATCAACCCTTAGGGGAAAGAGGAAGTATTAAGATTTAGGCCATTAAGGGCAAATGTGAATGTTGAGCTACCCAAGAGCAGTGGATATGTCACTCGCCCCTCTGTCTGTCACACAGCTTTAGGACGAGATCCCACCAGGCACACTCAGTGTGCCCTCTAGACCCTCTGGGGGCTGCCTCCGCCGCTTGTTATGTGATGTCCCCAGCCCAGCCCTCTGACTGCTGCAGTGCCTGGCATTGCCCACGTGTCCCTCTCGGCTCTGTGCACCCCGCTTGGGAGGCCAGCCAGGTCACAGCTGCAGGACACCCTGTGCCACAGAGGTGGGAAAAGGGATTGGCCGCCACTCAGAAACCTGTGGCAAATATCACACGAAGCCCGCTGCCTCCTCTCTTGAATGCAGAACACATTGAGAGATGAGATGGCACTTCTTTGGCTGCCAAAAAAAACGGGTAACAAAAGTGGCACGGCCCATATGTGTTTGTGATGGGGAGTGTTTTACCACGCAGCCAGGGATCTGCATTTTGTGTAGGCGACTTAAAGAAGTTGGCGGGCTCCTGCCCCCTTAAAGTCTCAGCGTAGGATGGGGGGCAGTGTGTGGACATGCGGCAGAAAGGAGGAGGCAGAGGAGCTCCGGTGTTAACAAAGGCATTCTCTGTGAGGCTTGGAGCTAGGACACTGTCCAAATGTCAAGCGTCTGATAATGAAAAAAAACGGACCTTAGCCATGGACTTGTTTTTCAGCGTGAGCCACACAAAACAGAAGCATGCGTGTGTGTCTGCCAAAAAAGAAACCTCATTCTCTGCCAAACTCCACAGCTCTTCATTTAAAAATCAAAACCCAAGTAGACTTGTCTTCGCATGGTTGCTGAAAATGTCCACTTAAAGGAATGGCAGCTCTCCCCAGCGAGCAGCAGGGTCCTGAGAGGGGGAGCACTGGGTCCCCAGGTAGTCCCACCAAGCGATACCTGGGAAGACCCAAGGCAGCTCCGGCTAGCCTTCAGAATGAGTGAAGGACAAGCGTTGTTTGTAGTCCCTTGTTGGGCCTGGCCTAGAGGTAGCAAACCCTTGGTATCTGAGCCATTCTAAGAATCAGACCTGGCCTTATTACATCATCTGGGCACCGGCCTTCTCTGAACCTCAGTTTGTTCATCTGTAAAATGCCAATATTTCACTGAGTTATCTCTAAGACATTGTCTAAGAAAGATTGGAAATACCTGTTTTTTATGAACGCCCAAAGGGGCTCAGTTAGCAGGAATTACAGAATAATATAGTGGCCTTAAGAGTGTACATTTATAGGGACAGATATGTACACACACACCTCACTGGTATTGACTCCGGTGTGTTTGTATGTGTGTATACATGTGTGTTTATGTGTGTATGTGTAGACATACATTGACTTAATAGTATTATAATATATCTCAGAGGTCTGATCTTCTTTTCTCCTTGGCAGTAACAACCCATGACCGTCACTATTCAGGCCACCCTGCTGCTCCTTTTGGGGTCTTTCTCTGCCCTTCTCTGTCCAAGTTGCTGTTCATCTCTTTTGATGTTGTCACTGCTTTTGAAATGCAGGATGTTTTGTTCTTACATCACTGAGTCGTCATTTCAACCCCAGAGAAATTTTGACTCCACATTTAGAAATATGAAATTGTAACCAGAATACTAGCAACACTGATTAATTTCTTTTAGAACATTTTTCTAGAACAAACTTCATGAAGCCAAATTTTCTGACGAAAGCATTGAAACCATTTCAAATTTTTCTATCTTTATTTCACTGAAAATATTTTTGTTGAGACTAATTATTTTCCATATAAACATTGAAAGAGAAGTTTGAGTCTCTGGTCAGTTTTCATTCTTACCACATCTTACTAGCTGTAGCTTCTGCTTTTATGACGTCTGCATAATTTCCAACAAGTCTGTTTTTCCTGATTGCAGTTTAAGTCATTGTGTTTTCATGATCAGTATCAATTCACGTCATTCAATAATCTCAGGATGGATTAACTCAGCAAGGTAACATTTTACAGCTGGAACAAATATTAGATCTGATTTTCCAGATGGGGAAACTGAAGCCCAGCAGTTAAGCGACTGTCCCAAAGTCCCCTGTCCATTTCATGTCAGAGCTGAGATTAGATTCCAGGCCTCCTGGCTCCCAGCCCAATGGTTTTCGGCTTCACAAGAGCACTCACATCGGGAATGACACATTGGCCGCCATATGCTACGATAGTTAAAACTGGAGCCTGCATCCATGTCTGCCCTAATGACAGCAGGCCTGAGAAATAACGTATTCCACATCCAGAGTTAGCTCTGAAGTCACATGTGTGTGCCCACCTCCTAGAGACAGATGGAGTATCGAGGTTTTTGAAAGGTACTACAGCCTAGGAGGTAGTGAGGCCAGTTTCGTCCAATGGTAAGAAAAGCTATGGCTTTATCTGGGAACTTTTGATATTAATGAAAGAACAGGTGCAAAAATTGGCCAAAATGAGCCCAGGAAACATGGTGGGCGGAGCCTTGGATGGAGAACGCACAGAGCCCAGCAGAGGCGCCGCCTGGTTTCTAGTCCGGAGCCTGGAAAATGAAAGCTAGGAGAGAGACTGGAGAAGTGGTCACGGGGCCGCGGTGGTAGGCGAAGGGGTGAGTGTTTGTTGTTGAAGCAGTGGGGAGCCTTTGAAGGTTTGGGGTTCTTTCTTTTCAGTTTTTTTTTCAGTGTGATAAAGCACAGAACATAAAATTTACCGTCTTAATCATTTTAAGTGTACTGTTTACTGGCATTAAATACAGTCATGTGCAACCATCACCACCATCCATCTCCATAGCTCTTTTCATCTCGTAAAACTGAAACTCTGTCCCATTAAATCCTGACTCCCCATTTCCTCGCCCCACCCCCTAGCCACCACCATTTTACTTTCTGTCTCTGTGAATTTGACCACTCTCTAAGTATCTCCTACAAGTGAAGCATACAATACGTGCCACCGTGGGAGGTTTTTAAGTGCATATGCAAAGCTGCCATTTGAGAAATTTAAAATGGCAGCCAAAGGAGGCATTCAGGGTGGAGAGAGGCCAGGGGAGGGGGGTTTCTGGGAACTGGGGAGAACGTTCGGAGCTTTATTGGAAGAAGGTTCCCATCCTACTTCCTCAGACTGCCTTCCTGATGCTTGATTTTGAAATAGAGATGGGGGCATAAAACTTCAGAACATCCAAGCTGTGAGGACCCATTCCTACTTGAGAGACAGTGTTTACTATGTAACCACACCACCTTAAAAGCTAAGTGTCTACAAGGAGAGCCTGGCATGCTGGTGTCATCCTAATCCCCTCCTCAGGCAGCCACAGGAAGCACCTCCGTGAAGCACAAGCTGTGACTTAACCTTGACTCTCACAAGATTTGGCTTAGGGAGACCTCAGGTGTGTAATCTGCAGACCCGCTCCGAGGGAGATCTTTCCTGAGTTTCCAATAGGAATCAGACCTTCAGCTAGAGGTTCCATCCAGATCAACCAAAGGGAAGGAGCCTGCCTCCCTCCAAGCTTAAAGGTTTTGGAGAGTCATGACCAAGGGTAGATGGTCTGCTGTAATGAAAGGAAGGTAGGCGCTGGCGTCAGACAAACCTGGTTTGAATTTCAGGTCTGTCACTTACTAGCCTTGGGCTGGTTCCTGGTTCTGTAAACTCTGAGTGAGATCAGTTACTTCACAGGAATGTTTGCAAGCCCTCGGGCAGGCCTGTGGTCTGCCACACACTTTTTTTATTCACAATTTTATGGAACGCTAGTAGCTCACTTGTAAATTATGTGATTGTATTTACTAATTTATAAATGAGGAAACAGAAGTTTCACCTGAGAGATTTGCTTAAAGCTTCAACTCGTAGTAGGAGCTGAGATTTGACAATCCAGTTCAACCTTTCCCCTGGTGTGGAGGGAGAGAGCCCTCTGCTTGGCCAGATCCAGGCTACCTGTCTGCCCTGGCGGTATGTGTGTGGTGGTGGTGGTGACAAAGGTGGGGGTGGAGTGTTGGCGGTGGACAGTATTTGGCAGCACATCCCGTCCACATGGAATGAGTTGTCCCCTGAAGGAAAGGGGAATGCTTACAAGGAGGAGGAGGAGGAGGGAGAAGGACTGGCGTGCAGACGGAAAGCATAACCACAGCTTCCTCGTGGTGCCTTTCTAAAACTAACATTAACTTTTTGTTTCTTTGACTCTACACACAACTTGAAAAAAGGAGGAAAGAATAACCACGGTCCTTGGAGCAAAAGGGAGGGTCAGACTAGGTATTCGAATGTTTCCACGGATGATCCGCAGAAGGAATAGCGGAGAGCGGGCCACCTGCCTTTCTGGGACTTCCTGCTCACCTTTTTTTTTTTTAATTTTTTTTAAGCATTTTAAACAGTTGTAGGAGCATTATGAACTATTTCTGAAGGACATAACAGTTCCAGGAAGGTCTTTAGCAAGTCCCTGGCTGCACTGACAAAATCACAATAAGCAAAGAGCAGTACATGTGACTTTTGCATTCGACTGGTTGAGAGGGGATGAGAAGTTACGACAATATTTAATGGAAGAAAGTAACTGTGAAGCAGATTTGAGACAATGATTACCAAATGCAGCCGATTCCCCGGGGAGACGTTTTGGCTGTTCTACAGAAACTGTTCAGCAGGCTCTTCCTCTCTCTCCCAGCTCTGTTCCCGTCTACAAAGAGCGAAGTGCTGATTTATGGGCTCTTGGTCTCCATCTTCTAGACCTGGGGAAAGTCCTTCAGTCCATTTGTGGGATTCAGACTGTGGGCAGAAAGCCAGAACATAGCAATCAAACCACATGCCCGCGTCCTGAATGATAAGACCTGCTATCTTCAGAGAGCTTCACGGCAGTCACAGGTTGAACTCTCCAGAAGCAGGCATTGAGCAAAGCTGGGGGTACATGATGTTTACTAGGGATTGACACCCCTGCGAAAGGAAGGGAGCAGGAAGCAGAATAGGTGGAGAAAGAAAATCAAACTGTGATGCAGGCCTGTAAACCTTGGCCAACCTTGCAGGGAGCTCTAGAGAGAGCATATTTTCCATCAGAGTGTCCCATATCGGGCCAAAATGACCTCGCATCTCACTCGTCACCAAATGTGGGCTGCCGCAGGACTGGCATCATCTTGGGAAAGGCTTCTCTCTACAGCTGACGCAGACCATGAAGGAGCTGACAGCTGGAGGCTGTCTGCTGACTGGACCCCCCACAGCTGGGCAACACGTCCATCCTTGGAGGGGGATCTCTATGTCTACCATAAAGGCCACCCAGATAATGTAGTTGCAGGCTCTCAGGGTTGGGGCGGGGCCGGGGAAGACAGCAGCAGGAGCTGGGAGTTTGCCTAAGACCACATGGGATATTGGTCTTCTTTTGTTTGCACAATGTAAGCCTTTGCCTAAGCGCTCAGTGCAATTATGTCTTCTGCCTGCATTAGAAAGATGGACCAGCCTTGCTTTTCAATTCATATCAAGCTTCCAAGATAGGAACAACAGATCTTTCAGGAAAAAGAAAGAAGAATTGTCAGTCTTTTTTTTTTTTTACAGTTATTTATTACTATTATAGAATAAGAAATCACATTAAAACTTAGGGGCTTAATGCAACAATGTATTATTTCTCACAGCTATGTGGGTGGAATGGGCTCTGCTGACTGGTTGTTCTGTTTCACGTGAGGTGGATTGCGGTCACACGTGCAGGTGCATTCAGCTGGGAGTTTGGCAAGATGCCAGTCCTTCTAAGGCCAGGGTTCCAAAGTCCCAGAATATTATTTCCATTGCATTCTCTGTGTCAAAGCAAACCACAGAGCAAGGCCAGATTCATCGTGATGGGAAGAACAGCAAAAAATTTGGACCCATATCCTAAATCAGTATGTTTCAACCTTTATATATAGATTCCCAGGCCCTGTCTCCAGATATTCTGACTTTATTGGTCTGAGATAGGACCTGAGCATCAATGTTTAAGAATCCGAGGAAATTCTAATATGTAGCCGGTTTGGGGAAACCCTAAACTGTGATGTCTTTTGTCCCGCTGTTGATACTGAAATGGCCTCCAACTTGCAGGAACCCTGTGTGGCTTCTGTTTGGATAAACTTCCGTTCTGACACCTAAAGTGCTTTCTAAATCCTGACCTATTTTCCTTACTTCCAGGCCAACCAGAAACCTGAGAACATAGTTTTACTCCTAACAAACCAGCCATTGATCTGAAGCATCACATTTAGAAAAGTGTCCTCTCGTCCGCACACTGTCTACTGCTATGGCTCTGGTTCTCTGAAATCTTCAGCCAAAACCTGACGCTAAGTTTTAGACCTCAGTCCCTGCCATGCATTGTAGGTTTACAAGTGGTCTTTGTTCTCTCAAAACACTGATAGACCACTGGTAATTTAGACTTGGAGAAAACCTCTTTTATTTATTCAAAACATCAGCTTCCTTTTCCCAACAGAGTTTTGCCCTGTACTGAAATAACGTGATTCTCGTGTGC